AGGCTCCCGCCACTACTGTGGTGCTTGCCAGCCATGAGCCCAGCTCAGGGCTTCTGGCTGAGCGGCACTCCCCCTGTGGGAGTGCACTGACCACCAGGGGGCATCTCCTGCATTGAGCGTCTGCCCCCTGGTGATCAGTGTGCATCATAGTGACTAGTTGCACCATCATTTGGTTGATTTGCAACCATTATTATATAGGATGGGAGGGACTGACAGAGATCAGAGGGGAGGAGGATGGACATAGACAAAAGTGTGGTGATGGCCAGAGGTGGAGGGGCTGGGTAGAGGAGGGTAAAGGGGGGGAAATGGGAGACATCTATAATAGTGTCAACAATAGAATATAAACAACAATCATATACCACTACACTACACACCTATTAGGAAAAAGATACATTATGAACTATGTATTTACTACTTTGATAAAATTAAAAAATTTAAAAAGAAAGAATTTTTTCCAGAAAGGAGTGTTGTCGAAATGTTGTTTTTATTTTTTAAATTTTTATGGTAAAGCTAAGAAAACTTCAGAGCCCCTGTGAGGGCTGGATTTGTTCTGGGGGAGAGAGCAACCAAGTTGCAACCAGCAGCATTTTGGATAACCTGCCTGAAATGATTTAAAAGAAAAAGGGACAGATACCCCAAGCCTACAGTTATTTGTAATTTATTTTCTTCTTCTAAATAAAGTCATTTTTGAACCTTATTAAAAAAAAATCCCCCCCCTCCCCTTAAAATTAGTCCTTCAGGTTCAGTAAACTTTAGGCCTCACAAAACCTGTGTTAGTCCCTGAGGGTTGGAGTTCCCAAAGGGGTTTGGATTCATTCATTATATTTATTTGCTCCTTTTAATTCTTGTTCTAGAGGGACAGTGAGGACAGTTTTTTACTCAGTAATTTTTATAAGAATTGTATTGGAACCTACTCCTTCTTTGGCTGTTTACGGGTTTACCTTACTGGGAACTCACAGAGACTTTAAGCCCTTTGAAGATAGGGACAGAGCTGTATTGTGTTTTTATAATACAGGCACAAAGTTAATACAACTTTTATAAATATTTGTTAAAGAAACTGATAAATTTCAGTGCCATGAGGCATTAGTTTTCCTTCTGCTCCATCCCTTTGAGACTTTTGTGCAAAGCATAAGGCTGAGGGGATGAGCAGGTAGAGTGGAAGTAAAGCTGCTTTTTCTAAACACTAGATCCCATACTTTGATTTTACATAGTAGATGCATTTCTGAATGACATTTTGAATTGGGTATATTAGATTTTGTTAATATCAACTCCCTTTACTCATAGAGATTATTTTTAATGATGTTTAAACGTTTCAGACTGTGAGGTGCAAAATATTTTGCTTATTTCAATAATCTTTGTGCATTCTTCCTATAGTAAAGTGAATTATCAACATGGCAAGTCTATTTTGGGGGGTGAGGGTCTGCTTAAAATGGGGCACACCGGCACTAAATTCGGTTCTAATAATGACTAATTCACACACCCCGTGTGGAGTTAGATGGCTTTGGACATAACCATTTTTGGTTCCTTTGCTCCCACAGCACCTGCTTCAACCAGAGGCAGTGTCTTCTTGACACTCCATGACCTCTTTGTCATGGCGACCGCAGGGCGTCTACTGCCTGAGGCTTCAGCAGTAAGCGGGGCGTTGACCTTCCCAAGATGGCGGCAACCCTGACAAACCCGCATAAGGGGCAGGGTCCCCTTGGCAGAAGCAGAGCGGGGAGGCAGCCACTGGCGAGGCAGGGTAGGGAGCCTGAGGCACTGGTCCTGGCTGGGTGGGCAGGCACTTCTTCCCAGGGTTTTGGAGGGTATTGGGGGTAGAGACACGCCCCAGCCTCTGTGCTGGGATGGAGCTGGAAAGGAGGGCGGCTGCCCCCTCCCCCACTGCTGGGTGGGATGTTGTGGAGGAGGGGCTGTGGATCCCTACCTAGCCCAGACCCACCCTCCCAGGGGCAGGTCGTGGGTTCAGGTGCTGCCGAGGCCGCTAGACCCTTGTGGGTGGGAAGGAGCGACTGGGCCTGCCCTGCAGCGAGTCTTGGCTCGGGTGTCTGAGCGGCGGGCAGGCAGCAGGTGGCAAGAGTAGATGGAGACACTGGCCCCGGGCTGCATAGGTGAGGCGCGCAAAACTTCTGCCCAGGCAGCGCCGGGGCCACGGAGTTGTGGCGGATAACAAAGCACTGGCATCTGGGGCTTCGATGCTGGCATGGGGGTCTGAGAACCTGGCGAGGTGTGGGATGCCCCTTTTCTGCCTCCGCCTGGCATGGGGTCTGCTGCACTGCCAGCAGGGGGAAGATAGGGGCTGGCCCAGCGCGAGCTGCTTGCCACCCACTGCAGCTCACCAGTCCCCTATTGGCTGGGGGAAGGTGACCAGTCGGTCCTTTGGTCATCTTGGTCGTGACAGACACTGCCTTTTTATATATATAGATGTTGGATAAATATGCCTTATCAGAAATTATGACCTGCAAAATTTCCCTCCCATACTGTGTCTTTTTGCTTTCTTAAAGATACCAATTGCCGCACCTAGATTTTAAATTTTGATGGATTCTAATTTCTCTTTTTTCTTTTTCTTTTATTGCTTATACTTTGGGAGTTTTATTTAACTTTCTCAGGTAACAAGTTTTCTATCTGAGAAAGAAATGTGATAGTATTAACTAGTTTAGAAGCAAAGGGAAATTACTTAAGCACACTGAAGAGAACTTAAAAAATGAAATTTAATCCCCAGACTTCAAACACTTTCAAGTAAAGATTAGCTATTCTCAACTTTGAGGAATTTGTCTTAAGTAAAACCACTTTTGAAAGAGCATACAAATGCAGGTACACTATATAATACTGTGTGTGGAATGACAACTAGAATCAGAAAACCTAAATATGAGACTACTCTGGGAACCTCTATGAGCCTCTCACTAGATTTTTTTCTAAAATAATTTACAAGTTCTAACTCCACTCACCCAAACTATTATTGTGAAGCTTAAATGAGATAACATTTGTTTAAATATTTGGCCTATCCTGTTTAGTATCAAGTACGATAGTTATTCATACTGGACAGGTCTAAATATAATAATGTATATGGGATTTTTCATCACATGCACTTGGTCTTATACTTTACTAGAGGCCCGGTGCATGAATTCGTGCACCAGTGGGGTCCCTTGGCCTGGCCTGCAGGATCAGGCTGAAACCGGCTCTCCGACATCCCCCAAGGGGTCCTGGATTGTGATAGGGCACAGGCCAGGCTGAGGGGACCCCACTGGTGCACAATCAGGGCCAGGGAAGGATGTGGGAGGTTGGCCAGCTGGGGAGGGACCACGGGAGGGCTCCAGGTGTCTCTGGCCCATCTCGCTCAGTCCTGATCAGCTGGACCCCAGCAACAAGCTAACCTACCAGTTGGAGTGTCTGCCCCCTGGTGGTCAGTGCATGTCATAGTAAGCGGTTGAGCAGCCTTAGCATATCATTAGCATATTACACTTTGGTTGAACAACCAGATGACTGGACACTTAGCATATTAGGCTTTTATTATATAGGATAACATCTATCTGTTTATCTGTAAAGCAATCCTTATAATAGGGCTTGCTTTGATTCTTACAGATTTAGCAAACTAAAAAACATTTTTTTGTATGTTTTTATTGATTTTTAGAGAGAGGAAAGGAGAGGGAGAGAAAAACATCTATTGGCTGTCTCCTGAACACCCCTTACTGGGGATCGAGCCTGCAACCTGGGCATGTGCCCTAACATCAAACCGAACCAGTGACTTCATGGTATATCAGAGGACGGCTCAACCAACTGAGTCACACCAGCAAGAGCTACAAACACCATTCTTAAGAAATATCAGGAAAAAATAGGTTTTAAACACAAGATAATATATAACTTCATGTTTATTTGTCTTAAGCTACACAATCTACTTCTCTTAAACAAATGTTTCCAAGTATGCTCATTTTTTCTATTTGCTAAATGTTTCATTTTTTTGTGAGTCTTGTGTAAAAAAATAATCAGTCTTATTCACTTATCTTCACTTTAAAAAAGGCTAGATGATGGTATACAGGGGGAAAAGCTATGTTGAGACAAAGTGGAATGAAAGGAAAATTATTATCCAACATATGTGGTAAGATTTAACAAATTATTTTAGACAGGATTAAGCAGATACATTGGACATTAAAAATAAGCAAACTGGCTCTGGCCAGTATGCTTTATGATTAGAGTGTCAGCCCGTGGATCATAGGGTCGAGGGTTTGATTCCCGGTAAAGGGCACATACTTCAGTTGTGGGCTTGATCACTGGGCGCATACAAGAGGCATCCACCAATGTGTCTGTCTGTCTGTCTGTCTGTCTCTCTCCCACCGCCCCCCCCCTGCTTTCCTCCCTTCCTCTTCCCTTCTCTCTCTAAAAATCAGTAAGAAAAAAATTGTTGGGTGGGGATTAAAAAAATATAACAAAATAAGCAAATTGTACCCATCTTTACAAGTATGATCCAATAGAAAGACAGACACATGCATATACACACAATCATCCTTAGTATTATCTTAAAGAGCAATACCTAGTTGTACTAATATTATGTACCAAAATACCCAGATGGAGTGATTCAGTTGGTTGAGCATCATCCTGTGCACAGAAGGGTTGCTGGTCTGATTCCTGGTCAGGGCATATACCTGGGTTGCTAGTTTAGACTGCCAGTTAGGGCACAGCTGGGGCACAAACAGAAGGCAACTGATCAATGTTTCTCTCTCTCTCCTTTCCTTTTTATGCATATTCTCAGGTGAGGATTAAAAGGAAAAAAAAATACACAAATGGGGTGAAAAATAGATAGGAAGGGGTCAGAATAAATTACACAGACACCGTCTGGCAAAAGAGGTTCAAAATGTAATGAACAATACAGAAGATGATGGGATATACATAGAAGTGCATCTTTCATGGACAATTAAGGGTAAACATTACCTCTTTCCTAAAGCAAATTATCCTTCACCCAAAATAACCTTAGGAGAGGTAATTCATCAGTTCTCAAGTTCCCAGAGGCAAGTTATTGTACTCTTTTACTCTATTATTCCTTCTAAATACTTACTATCATCTCCAACAG